TTTTTTTTTTTTTTCTCTTCTGTCGGTGCACTCAGGACGGAGAGAGGACAAGTGAGGGAGAGTGTATATAAGTTTGTGTGTCTGAGTGAGAGGCAGAGACAGAGGGAGACAGAGGCAGAGAGCTTTAGCCTGGCTTTTCTCCGCTGTGCCTTTCAGCTCCTCTCTCACTGTAGAAAGAGGCGTGTCCATGGACCAGTATAAAGTCCAAGGAGAGCCACTCGTGTTGAGCCATTCTCAGGAGCGAGTCCTCTGCACCGCACGCCGGCAAAAGCGAGAGGAGGAAGCTGCAGCCGTGACTTAAAAAAAAAAAAAAACGCTGCCTACTTTTTTGATGACCCGCTTTGGACACTTGTAGACCAGACTCTTCGGGAAGGCGGGCGAGCCTCCGGACTCGGGAGACGGAGCAAAGGGCTCACCTGGTGGATACAACTGCCGCTCATTCCACCGTAACCAAAAAAAAAACAAAAAAACAGTTCTTATCACCACGACACTCGCCAGCTGAGCAGATCAAGAGCAGGCTCCAGTTTCTGCGCTGTGAAACTGAATCAGAGGAACGGAGAGGCTCAAACAGCAGAGGCATTGTGTCCCTGCAATTGAAACACTAACCAGCTGAACATATCAAAGACTCTCCTGGACAAAGCGTTCCTCTCAAAACCTCCTCTTGTTTGTCTAAAAAAAAAAAAAAGAAAAAAAAAAAAATCTGCCGTTGGGGTAGAAAGTGATCAAAAAAAGCTGCACCACACTCAGAGGACAGAGGGAGGCTGAGGGGACCAGACACCGGGGCTGAGGATTGTGTGCAGGTGCCGGGTGCTGCCATGGGTCGTGGAGGCGGCGTGGCAGCAGCTCCGTCCTGCTGGGGCCTGTGGGTGTTTGGCGCCCTGTCGCTGGCGGCGCTCTGCCTGTCGGACCAGGCCATCCGCTGCCCGGTGTGCACCGAGGAGAGGCTGGCCAGCTGCCGTCTGCCGGAGGGCTGCGAGGAGACGGTGAGGGAGCCCGGCTGCGGCTGCTGCCCCACCTGCGCCCTGCCTAAAGGGGCGCACTGTGGCGTCTACTCGCCCCGATGTGGGACGGGCCTCCGCTGCTACCCGCCACGTGGCGTGGAGAGGCCACTGCACTCGCTGATGCACGGCCAGGGGGTCTGCACCGACGAGAGGGAGGTGGAGGAGAACTCAGGTGAGAGCGAAGGGGGTCACACTCTTGTTTTTGACTTTTGCACTGCAGTTAGATTTCCCCGAGCAAGTCAGGATGCTGAGCAGGTCTGTCCAAAACCCGGAGTGGCGTCTGCGGACCCACGGCCGGGACAGTATTCTCTGTCTCTGCTGCCTCGGCCTCACCTGAGCCGGGCAGAGTCGGAGCCGGCGAGGGGGGGGTGTGTGACAATGTGCTGCTTGTTTACCCTAATCTCAGCTAAGCCCTGAAGCAGAGCATGCACACGCACCGGCTCCTGATGGGAGAGCGCACACAGTCGCTCTGCTGTCTTGCGACTGAGGCCTCGCTGTGAGTCGCAGAGCGCCGTGGCGATGGCCGGGGTGGGCGTGTGTGCATGTGCCTGCGAGCAGGAACTAATGACGGCATTGCTTCCCTCGCGTTAAACCGAGATCCTGCAGGTAGTTGGGGAAGTGCAGGCACTGAGATGCATTGTGGTGCTGCTGGAAATGTGAGCGTCTGTGTCTGTGTGTGTGTGTGTGTGTATGTGTGTGTGTGTGTGTGTGTGTGTGTGTGTATGTGTGTGTGTGTGTGTGTTTGTAATAGGAGGAGGTAATAAAAGCTGCTGTATGAAATGACTGTAATGGAGTGTGGCCAGTCTGGGGCTATTAGAGCTCTCTGCAATCCACTTGGTGCTCTTTCATGGATACCCTCGTTCCTCCTCCTCCTCCTGCTGCTGCTGCTGCTGCTGCTGCTGCTGCTGCTGCAGATGTCTAACTCTTCTTCTACCGACGATGTCTCTATCTGGTTCTTCTGGCCCGGCTTCTGACTCTCCTCCTTGTTGCTGCATTCCTCTTGCAGAGAACAAAGTCTGTTTCCACTTTGACACAGTGGGACGCCTTAAACTGGATGTCTTATCTGCATATCCAGTTCCAGTTCGCTGCTCTGACATGAACTTCTTTCTCCTGATGAAATGTCTCTCCACAAAGGGAGTGGTGTTGATTTCCATTATGGCATATGAGACAATTGTTCTAATGTGTCGCAGACAAGGTGGTTCTTTCATTTGTTCCAGATTATCTACTATCTGGCCCGGCACTGCTTCCAGCGAGCCCAGACGGTTACTGGTAATGGTAGTAGGCTATCTGCTAGCGCCAGAACACCAAAGAATTGGATCGGCTTTAGACAATATAAAACTCCCAGGACGCTCATCTCCATTGCAGCATCTGTTTCCCCTGGCCGAGGGTGCACCCCACCTCCTCCCAGCCCTAACAAGCCTTCGAGCGCATCGCCCACCGCGTCCAGCTCCTTCATGAGGATGAGCTCATCGGCACTCTTGCTGCCAGAGCTGAAATTAGAGCCTTCTGCTCTCTGTACAAGGCCAGCATAGGTTAGGCCGGCACATAGCGTGACTGAATGGAATCAGAAAGAAGAGGAAAGCTGTTTTGAGCATGATAAAAACGGAGGGCTGGCTCAGCTTGGCCTGGTTCTGTCCGTCCACACCCGTCTCTCTCTCTCTCTCTCTCTCTCTCTCTCTCTCTCTCTCTCTCTGCCTGAACATTATTGCTGCCTTTCGGTCGGCCGCAGTGCACCGAGGGTCCCTCCATCGGGGCGGGGCGGCACTGGATGGAACATTTTGGAAAGTTCATAAGTTTTGTTTTTGGTGCTCTGTAACGTGAGCGCCTGAGTTTTGTTTGCCTCCACACTCCTTCTCACCCCCGGAGCCTGTCATAACAAAGCAGGGAAGCTCTGCCCAATAAATCTCACTGTAAATCAATGCTGCCGGGCAGCGGCTCAGATCCGCTGTATAAGAATGTAAACCATGGCGGTGGAGAGACAATCAGAGAGGCACGGGGGAGAGGCAAAGAGCAACTCCAGTCACAAGCAGGAGATTTCCTTTGTGGCGCATTCACCGTACTTATGCATTATTAAACAAGGGGGTGCATCTCCTGAATACATGTCTGACACTGGCCCACTCCTAGCAACAGTGAACATGCTAGATAAAAATAGAAGAGGGTTTTTAAAAACCAGGAGAATTCATAATAAAAAGGACCCTGGGATAGAGGCACATCCTGACAGAGCCACTGAAAGGAATTTAGGGTGTCGAGGAGGCTGCGGCTCACAGCCCTGCATCCTGACGCTGCAGGAGAAGCCCAGAGGTTTTGTTCATTTCACAAGGCTGCAAAACGAAACAAGTAGAAGGGAAAGTGATACATTAAATCAGCCTGGCAAGAATTAGGAGCGACCGGTCCGTTTCCTTCGCTCGACAAACAGCGCGTTTCTCTGTTCCCGAACTGAATTTCCATAGCAACAACAGGCACTATCTCGCATGTTATGTCAAGACAGCTTAGTGCTTCTTAATATCCCATTCTTAGAAACCCTCGCTATCTTAATACTTAGAATAAATCTTGGTGCATGCGTTGGCGTCCGCTCCTGCATTCCTGCCGAGCCTGCCCCGGTGTCGGGTATTCAGATGCTTCCCTCCGACAGTGAAACGGATATTATTTACAAACCGATACAGATGTCAGATATGAAAAGTCTTACACCTACAGGCACAGAGGGAGCTGCATGAATGAAGCCAGACTCTGTTCGACTATGCCCAATTTACTGTGACGCACACGGCTCTTTATGAAAGCAGCATGCTAACCTAGATTTCTGCTCCGGCCTGGGAGGGAGGACTCCTCGGCACGTTTTTTGGGAGCTCAATCGAGAGGATTTTTTTGGTCAGCAGATGTCCCGTAATGTTTGTGTGTTTGCTTTCTTTGGGTTGTGCGGTGCATTTGTACAGCTGGGGCTCTTGTGCAGGAGTAAATGCGATAAGCTAATTGCTGCAGGGACCCCCTTCTAGAGCCGGAGCTGAGACGCACACAAACAATCCAACTTTGTCCGGGCCGTGACACATACTTCCTCGGAGGGCAGAGGATCCTCATGGGCTGCGATTTCACATCTCTCGCTAACAAACGAGCATGTTATCAAATCGTGTCCTCTCTTATCGAGGCTGCTTTTCACCACAACTGAAGCAACATTCCAGGTATTAAGTCGCCTCACTGGATCAGAAACGCTGCCGTGTTCACCTCCCCTGCACTCCAGACCCCGATTCTGTATTAAAAAAAGAATATTCAACTTAAAATGGTGTAACCCAGAATAGTTTGACCTAATTCGCTGCAGCTGCAGGTTTCCCTCTATTCATAGATGTATTCATCACTGGCTGTAGCGTCGGTGCATCAGCAGCTCAGCCAGGATTGCCCCCTCGCTACGACACAGTTTACTCACATCTGACAGCAAGCAAACCCAGCAAACAAGCAAGTAGCAGCGCACGGAGCCGGATCCCGGAGCTCGGGACGAACTCAGATTCTGGTTTTTATCTAGATGAAAGATAGAATTCCTTCCTGAAAACAGGAGAAAGCATGAATCTCAGAGGAGGCAGTGAACTCGTGTTTCACAGAACAATGCTTTGATCCCGAGCTTTTCACAGGCTAAAGGATCATGTTTATCCTGATGACGATCCATCTGGAAGAGGTTCTCCTCCATCCTCTGCTCATATTCTGTCTCTGATCCACACCTGTGTGTGTGTTATATCTGGCTTCTAACGGTTTCAGGCCCGAGGCTGAAGTATTACACAATTTTCAGCGCGTTAAGCCGAGCCAACGGAATTGTTAATAAGCCACCAGAAAGCTGCCGTTGCTAAGAGTGATAATGATTTTATGCTTGGCTCCGGTTTCTGTGAACTTAGCTCAACAGGGGCATTAATGAGGAACATATTCTCCTCAGTATAATCGAGAACATCGAAAAAGGACATTATGCAATTTAGGATTCTAATTTCCTGATTTGTTCCTCCTAATTATTTCTGCTCCCTAAATTAACACTGAATCTGCTCTTTTCGGATTCAACACGTGGTCTTAATAGACGTCTGTTTTGTCATAATTTGAACGTTAAGTGGGAAAAGCAGCTCCAGGCGGCGGCAGCAGAGTCGATTCCACTTTCCTCCAGTTGTTTTCTTCGACAGACAACGCTTCAAAGGCCTCTGAAACTCTCATCGGCTTTGCCAATAGTCTGGAACGTTGTTCTTACAACTGCATGAGGCTGCATCAGCTGATGATTAACTGATTCAAAGAAATCTTTTCCCTGGAAACCGGTGGTCTGACACTGATCCTCTGGCAGCATCCAGTGTTGACTGAAAAAGAACGGCTTTTTTGGTAGTAAGTGTGGATGACTTTTGAGCTGGAGGCTGCCAGAGAAAACCTTCAAAACACACTCTGGAGAAGTTTCCTCCCCAAAGAGACATTAGCTGTTGTCAGTGTACGGTAGTTTAAGCTATTAGTGTCACGAATAATGTTTATCTTTCTTTTTTGTGAGCTGATATTCGGCTTTTATGGACTGATTGTTAAGACTGATCACCATGTTTGGACGCATAAAGAGCTACGATGATTAATCATGAGCTGTCAACTATCAAACGAGCCTCCAGCTAATTTGAAAATTGATTATTTGGCTTGAGTGTCTCTTTAAAGTCACATTTGTCTGATTGCAGCTTCTTAAATGTGAACCTTTTATGGCTTCTTTCCTGCGCTACGACAGTAAACTGTTTATCTTTGGCTTGTGGGAAAAACAAGACGGGTGTCGACGTCATCTTGGGCTTTCTTGGAAACTGTTTTTTTCTAAACCAAACAACTAATCAATTAATCCAGAAAATAATGAAATCGTTAAACATACACTTGAGCTGCAGACCCAGAGATAAAAGAAACACAAATCAGGGACGGAACAGAAATGATCCCGACTGACTTGAAGACAACGGAGCAGACAAATAGCAGGAATAAACCTCACAGCATTTCACTTCTTCTTCTCCTTCTTGAGTATTTTGGAAATCTGATCAATCGTGGCTTCATGTGATCACGTCGGGGTCACTGTGGAAAAGGTTCTGAGACAAACACGCCTCATTCAGGCTGTTTGTTCAACCTAATCGGTGCTGTATGGTTTCCAGATCAACACCGGTGTCAGTAGTTTACATCTTTAAAATCTAATTCTGACACATTTGGCCATGTTCTTCCTGTTCTACGTCATCTTTTAAGTATATTTTCAACACATAAAAACAGAAACGTGCACCTTTAACCACACCCAGCGTCTGACGCGCCTCCTGCAGGAACAATCAAACCACTGGAGGTCAGCAAAAACAAGATCTTTTAGCTGATTTCAAGTTTGTTTCTGGATCTTTTTCGCCAGATTTTTAAAGAATTGTGACCAAAAACGTGCACCAATGCAGTGAATCTGCGTTAAACATAGAACGAGTGATTACTTGTAAACGGTTGCATCTCACGTTGTTGCACAAAAGCTCCACATAACGGACTCAGTGGAAGAACAAACCGCTGGAAAAGTCCTCCGCCAATCTCACTGAGCGGAACTAAATATTTATCTGAGGAGGATATTTGTCTTTGGGGTTTACAAGCCCGGCCTTAAAAGCCACTGACGGAGGAATCTGAAATCCGATGACCTTGTCGTGTCACCGTCGTGCAGCCGGCCACGAGAAGCCAAACACGTAAACAGACACGTACGTGGGCCGGACTTGTTATGATGTGGATTAAATGATGCGGCCGCAGCGAGCCGGTGTGGAGGTTTGTTGTTTTTTTTTTCCTGCGATGATGCACCTCCGCACGTTGCCGCCGCCGTGACGGCCGGATTTGCAGCAGCTGACATGTGAAAACAAATATTTAAACAAGAGCCCCGTTGAGCAACTAACGCACTTTGTTGTGTAACAGGTTTGGAATCAAACGCAGCCAATCGGCCGTCGAACAAACTGCTGCGATGATGATTAACAGGGAGGAAACGATCTCTGTTTGCAAGGATTCTGTTCAGTTGGCTTTGGCCCGCGACCAGAACACCACAGAAAGCAGGTGAAGCCCCGGTTCTGGGTGGTTTTATCTTCGCCGTGCACCTGTGACCGACAATGCGCCGCAGGAATTGTGGTGTAAAAGCGCCGAGAGCTGGCGATCCAGATCAAATGAAACCACACAGAGAAGTGGCGACTTCCTATGTGGAAAACAGCAGTGGTAGCAAACAGGACATGCCACCCCTGACCCACTTCTAAATCACTTTGGCTCGGCCTGCTGAAAGAGAGGGGAATCGGAAAAGTGGCAGAAGAAAGAGAAGAGAGAGAGAGAGAGAGAGAGAGAGAGAGAGCTCGGCTCGGAGCGAAGGGAAGCAGCTGAGACCCGGTTGGCTTCTCGTGGAAGAAAGTGCTGATGAGCAAGGCTTAACGGCAACGAGACTAAAAATACAAACAGCCCAGAGACACACTTCCCCCCCAGCAGGCGAGCCGAGCCAAGCCAGATGACAAAGTTTAGAGAAACCCGGTCACCGTGCGACCTCCGCTCATCCCCACAAAACCAACCAGGATGCCCAGAACCGCACTGGGAAGGCAGTTTATCACTATAACAGTTTGCTGCTATTTTGAAGATTTTCCCCGTTTTGTTAAATTGCCGATAACTCAAAAAACACACACACAAAAAAATTATTTACATGTTAATCCTTAAAAACAGGCCAAAAATATAATTAATTTTTAATTTTTATTTTAAAAATCAGAAAAATAATATGCAAATAATTTCCACATCAATTTATTACATTTTATTTTTATTTTACAGATTTACTGGTCATACTTTTCCTTGACCACAAAATAATAAAATTTTCTACACTAATGAAATCGCAATCCTTTCATATTATTCTATTCATTATTTATATGGAAATTATTACTATTTTTATATGTACAATAAGCACAGAAAATATTAATGTATTTAATTTATTTCTTTTTTTTACTGACATTTTACAGATTTTACCTGTTTTGTTACATTACAGGCAATAAAAAAAACACTTAAAAAATAAGTAAATTTACGTAACCCTAAAAGTCAGGCCAAAAGTTAAATATATTTTAACATTTCATTAAAAAATTTGAAAAATAAGTAATTAAAGTCCACATCAGAAATCTTTCTACAGTTTTTACTCATTATTTTCCTTTTACCACAAAATTACATGATTTTCTACTTTATTTAAATTATCTTCATTTCATATTATTATATTTATTATTCATATATAAATTAGTGTTGTTATTTTTTAATCTACAATAAGGACAGAAAATAATAATTCGTTTTCTAAAGTGACATTTTACAGATTTTTCCAGTTTTGTTAAATTACAACGAGTAAATCACAGAAATATGTACACATTTACATGTTAACCACAAAAAACAGGCCAGAATTGTCAATAAAGTCCACAACACAAATCAAACCATGACACTGTTTTGCAGTATTTAAATCAGCAAAAAGAGAAAAATGCATATTAAAGGTTGAAAATGGTAAATACATTTTTAACGGTTTAAACTGTTTGTTTTAACAGATTTTCAATATTATCTTTAATTACATTTATTCACATGTTGACTGTATATTAAAAATACATTCAATTAAAAACAGGCCAATTTTACAAATAGTTGTCAGTTCTTTTACAATGTATGACTATAAAATTACACAATTGTACTGCATTAAAATCAGGTAAAAATAAAAAAATAAAATGACTCTATATATACATAGTTGTTTTAACTTTTTTTCTTTTTTCTTTCTTTTTTTTTTCTAACAGTTTTTGATTGCATTATTACTGCATTGTAGTATTGCACCATTTAATTTTATTTTTATATATTTTATTTCTGGCATCCTTGTTCACACATTGTTTAGTTTTTTTTACTGGAGGTTTTCTTTTTTTTTTTTTACAGTGTGGTAGTTCAGAGAAAAGCTTGAACTGGTTTCGGTACGTTTGCATTCATGCATTGCAGAGCTGTGAAAAGGCTGCGGGGGATTAAGGCGGCTACTAACCGCTCCCTCAGCGTCCGTCTGCCAGCAGCAGTTAAGTGGACGCCTGGCGGTGACCTTACAGTAACCAGAGCTCCGATCTGGTTTAGTGATCAGAGCGAGAACAGCTTCAGAACTGCACTTTAAAGGGCTTTGATTCCAGCGTTATGAGCACAAAGTCTCACAAAGCCACAGGTGAAACGCAAGACGCACAAAGACACACACAGGCGTGACTTTGATCCCTCCCTTTGCCCATCTTGTGCAACCGCCGCACACACAACCACTCGTGCCCACTTGTGACAGTGCAAATACCCTCTAACAACCTCCATCTGGCCCAGACTGGGGTTGCTGTGGAGGGGCGGGGAGCGAGCGCGGAGGGGGGCATTTCCTGAGGAAGCAGCTGGGTGCCTGCAGGGCCGCAGAGCTGCAGGATTATAGGGATGCAAAGGTGAATGTGGCACACACCACTATGTACAGAGGGTGGCAGAGCAGGGGTGGTGTCGTTTTCAGAAAAGCCTCCGAGCTCGCTGTGGCGTTGAGGAGCAGCAGGGCCAGAGCCGAGCTTCAGATCCCCCCCCCCCAGAGCAGGAACAGGGCTCTGCGTCCTTGTGGTTAACCTGGCCTCGTTTTTAGCCTACATTTCAGCAGCTGTATGGGCTGTACGTTGAAGGACGGAGGATGGATGTTGCCCTAAATTATGCTTGTGTCATTAAAACTGCTGTGTTATTAGGTTGCACTGAAACAAAACCCCCGTAAATTGTATGGCAATGTGATCATGTTGGCGTGTGAATTTGAGGAACTAAAGCATAATTTCTTCTTGTTCAGCAGTCGACAGGCCGGAAGAGATCATCCCCGAACACCCCAACAACAGCAATATCCGGTGCAGTCCGCAGGACAAGCGCTGCATACAGAAGACTTTGGCCCGACACCCTCCCAAATCCACAAACCAGAGAAGCAACGCCGCCAGGGAGGAGACCAAGGCGGTGCTGGTGAGAGCACACATCTTCTGACGTCTTATCAGTTTCACAGAAAACAACGAAGCGAGGCAAATCCCCGCCGCTGCACATGCCTCAGCAGGTGTTTCACATTAAGCTTTTATAGTTCCTCAGCCACAAGCGCAACAGTCAGGTTATAAATTGTACAAATTAGTTATTTACAGACCGTAACATTTAATTGCGGTCTTGTGAAATAAAGTTCAGGTGCATACGGACATCAACATGCAGTTTTAAGTTGTAACGCTGGCAAGAGCGGGATCATAACATCCCCATTAATCAGTAACAGGCGCGCATGTGTTCAGGGCGTTCATTTAACACAGAAACGTGTTGCATGAACATACGGCGACGCCGCAGACTTCCACAAATAGACTAATCTGGGTCGCCCACCCAGGTAGGTTTACCTCAGCCAAAGTTCAGTTTTTTTGGAAATGCATGCTTGTAAATGCGGCGGCCCGGTTCTGCAGAATGATTCACAACCACAAGTTCACTGTTACCTCAGTGCACCTGATTGGCTGTGCTGGTTGCAGATATCTGCACACAAAAAAATACGGTTTCTCTTTCAGCTCTGCTCACTATTGTCTCCAGGATTGCGATCAGAGATTGAGATTGAGATCCTGAAGCCTTTCTGTAACTAATCTGGCGCTATGCTGAGGATCATTGTCCATCTGAAGACCCATTTAAAGCTTTAACTTCCTGCTGATGTCTTGAGATGTTGCATCAATATTTCCACACATTGTTCTTTCCTCATGATATCATCTATGTTGTGAAGTGCACCAGTCCCTCCACAGCATGATGTTGCCACCCCCGTACTTCACAGTTGGGATGGTGTTCTCAGGCTTGTAGGCGTCCCCCTTTGTCCAAATGTAACGATGGTCATTAAGGTCAAACAGTTAATTTTAAGTTAGTAAACTTCTGACTTTGAAGGAAACATTAAAAAAAATCCCTCTCTCATTATTCTGGCATTTAGCAAATAGAAATCATGTTGGTAATCCTGACTGACCTGAAACAGGAGAAGTTTAGTCTGATTTAATGTCAGACAGTCAGAAAAAAAAGGTTTGATGTCTTTTTATACAGCGGATGTAAACTTCTGGTTTCAACTGTACAAGCTCTGAAGAACGCAGACCGATCAGCCATGACATTAAAACCACCTGACTAGTGGAGGCGCCAGGACATTTGCAGCAGATGCTTAAAGTCCTGGAAGTCGGTCGATGGAGGGTCCACGGATTTGACTTTTCCCAAAGATGCTCGGTCAGATTGAAAGCTGGAGGCTGAGCTGACGCCTTGAACGTTTCGTCGTGTTCCTCAAATCATTCCTGAACGATGCTTGCAGCGTAGCAGGAAGCATAAAGCTGCCATGACGGGGTGGACGTGGTCTGCAGCAATGCTTAGGTGTCAAAGTCAACATGAAGGCAGGACTCCAGGTTTCCCAGCAGAACATCATCCAGAGCATCAAGCTGCCTCGACCTGCCCAACTACTTCGAATCTTGTTGATGATGGAGAAGACCAGGACACCTCCAGTTCTGGTGTCCACTGTGGGACACAACAAGCAGCAAGAAGTCTTTTAGTGCTTCTGTGCAACCAATGCTCCACACGAGACCCAACGATCCTCGAGTGTCCACGACTCTCTGTCCCTCCCAACACTCTGCAACATCTGCTGTTTTGGAGATGCTCCGACCCAGTCGTCCAACCAAAACAGTTTGTCAAAGCCTCTTACATTGTTGACATGCTGCACATTCTTCCAGCATCAGCTTGTAGACCTCACAGACCATCAAGGCCACTCAACGCTCCAATGTGGCTGATCGCTACGTGCTCAGCAGGTCAACGATGACTTGTGAGGAATCAGGACGGAAGCTAGCATAACAGAATTTGAACTCACACCACCACTATTGTTTATGCTTCACGGCAAACTGAGACGATAATTTAAAACCATTCATTTGAACAAAACGGCTCGACTTTCTTGTGATTTTTTTCCTCCATTTTGAAAATTAAACATTTACGCCAGCAGCGTCCTCGTGCTGCTGCAGTCGTCTACATGTGTTGACGTACAAACACCGACTTGTGTCTCCACAGGCTCCGTGTCGCGCCGAGCTGCAGAGAGCGCTGGACAGGCTGGCGTCCAACACCCGCACACATGACGATCTCTTCACCATCCCCATCCCCAACTGTGACAAGAACGGAGACTTCCACGCTAAACAGGTCGGTGGCTTCAAACACACTCAGTACACCATAAAAAAATAAAATAAAATCTTGTAGAAAAAGTGTGCAAATCTGCCAGCACGGGTGCTAGAATAAATATGCAGGGAGTAGGGAGATATTGTAATGTTCAAAAACTGGGGGAAAAAAACATGTAAAATAATTCTATTTTTAGCTGATGAGCACACTGTAAAAAATGCTGTGAAATACTGGTGACAATCAGGCAGCGAGAAAAAATGGTGCAACACAGAAATGGTGCAATCAGAAATAGCAAAAGACTGAAAATAACAGCAAATATCTGTAAACTAATTATATTTCTATTTGATTTAAATGCAGTAAACGTGTTTATTTCACAGGCTTACATTGTGAAGGAACTAATTACTATTTCTAAATGGTTAACATGTAACCGAATACTTTTACTTCTGTGATTTTACTCGATATTATCTGTAATTCAAAAACATTAAAACATTATTTCCCTTTTCTTTTTCAAATATCTGTAAAATAACAAGATTTTTTGCCATTTTGAACACAGAAAAAATGGCGTAATGTTCCTGTCAAATGTTGTAAAAGAGCTTTTGAGTGACTTTACTAAATATTGTTCATCATTTATCAATGCAGGGAAAATCCACAAAGTGATAGTTAAAGTTAAATGAAAAATATTTACCATTTTATATAATTAATATACAGAATTTTCTTTCAAATAACAGCAAATATCTGTAAAAAAAAACAACCCCCCCCCAAAACCCCAATAATTTTGCAGTTTTAAATACAGTAAAAATAGTGTAATGTTACCACCAAATGTTGTAAAAATACAGATTTTTGATGTGAAGACATTTAAAGTTATTGTCATTTATTTAAAAAAAAAAAATTCTTTAATTTTTTTCTTGTGATTTAACCAAAGAGGGAAAATCTATAAAATAATAGTTCACCGTTTTTCAGTCCTTTTTTAAATAACAGTGAATATCTGTAAAATTATAATATCTGCTGTTTTAAATCACAGTGTTGTAAAAGTGTTGTTATGCAACGTTTTGGCCTGATTTTTTCACAGTAAACACATAAAGTAATGCTCTTATCCTGTGATTTTACTCGATATTATCTTTAATTTAACAAAGCAGACAAAAATTTGTAAAGTAGAAGTAAACTACTTTTTAAAAAATGCTGGTTAAACTGCTACAAGTCCTTCCTTCTTTGCAGCGCGCGAGCTTGACTGAAGCACCGAGCCGACCACTCGCTGGCCGTGTCTGCTGGTGAACTGTGAATCTCTATTATTCCGCCAATACAAATAAAAATTCCTATCTCCTAACAGCTTCAGACTCCATCAGCAGTCCGCGGGCCAAAACACAAAACACGCCTGCAGCCGATGACATATTGTCTTACTAGTTCAAGATCAACACGAAGCCGTCTCCAAGCAGACTGTCGCGCCGAAGCCAAAACCTTATTTTTCTAAGCTCACATGGAAAGTGATTTACTTTTAGAAGTCAAGACTTTGTGCGTAAAGCGGTTTCCCTTAAACTGTGGGACAATAATCACTTTATTGCAGCGATGGATGCAATTAGTTTTTGGATGGGGTTGCCTGCCTGCCTTCTTCTTTTTTTTTTTTGATATTCTGCTTTTGCAAGATTGTGCAAACATTCAGATAATCAGGGGAAAGCACAGATAAGGCTGCACACGCAATCGCAGCAGCAGCAGCAGCAGCAGCAGCGGCAGCAGCAGAGTCGGTGATAAAAGCCAAGCTGTGCAGAGGCACCAGGCATCAAGAGTCTGAGTTGTGTAACGTGGTTAAAGTATCTCTGTCTGCTCGGATTCACAGGCATCTGTTTACTGTTTAACTAAAACTGCGCTGTGATAAAACCTGTTGGGAAGTAAAGCACAGGTCATTAGGGGCAACTGGGAATCATTTCATGGCAGGGCTGCTCTCAGATTGTTAACTGCTCTGTCTTGGAGGCTTTTTGAAGCTAAATCACTGTGGGGGGAGAAAAAAAAGAAAAGAAAAGTGCAAGCGCATGCAATAAATTTTCTATTAGGGGAATTGTTAAAAGTCTGCAGGAGGAATGTTTGCAGGAGATTTGAACCAAATAATTAAATTACTTGAAATACTGCTTGGAGTTTGTTTAGGGCCACAATAAAAGTCAGCTTTAGGTTTAGTTAACAAAAAAAAAAAACATTCTTTAATGTGGTCTGCTGCAAAAATATTATATTTGACCACTTACTCAGGACGAAGAGCTTCAAAACGAGTCAAATGTCTCTAAAAGCACGTCCGACGTTGTGCCCTGTCAGCATTCACTCAGAATCTAAGTTACGTATTGCTTTGGTTTCAGCTCCGTGTGGCTCTTTAGATGTTCTATCTAATCTAATCTATCTAAATGCTCCACTGTGTCCACCTTTGATAACAGTCAGGGTGGATTAAAACAAGAAAGCTGCCAAAAGTTGAATTAAAAAGATATATATATATATAAAAAAACCACCAAAGAATACACCAGAGCAGCAGAGTTGGGCGATTAAACAGAAAATCCAAACAGCACCACATGGGCTCTTTAATGTTAAAGTGTCTTTAACATTTGGATTTAAAACTCTGAACTCCAGGCAACACTTCATTCTCCCGTCTGTGGGCTCATTTTTTTAATGCAACATAAAGTCCTGAACCTCTGTGGAAACATAACAACCAAAAGTTTAATAACTGATGAAAAGTCTCTGAATTAGTGTCACTTAGCCGTTGGTCACATGTGAATCACTCCAGGAACCAAGAAGGGCAGTTTTTTGTTTTTTTTTACTAAATCTAATCAACATGAATGTTTTCTATTTTTGCACATTTTTTAATTAGATGTACAGAATAAACTAATTTGGATGAAATATAATGACTTTCAGCTTAAATTTGGTCAAATTTCCTAATTGCACATCATAGATGAGTAGTTCAAGCGCTGTTGGAAAGTTGGAAAATCTGGCTTTGAAACTCTAGACAAATAGATAATATGCCTCTTAAACCTTTCATCAGGTTTTGGGGTTCAGAGGGGCCATTGGTATATACCATGACTTCCTACTTGATTACATTTATTAATTATTATGGAACTGTATGGCCCATATGAGTACTTCAAGCACCATCGGAAAGGGGAAAATTTGACCTTTTCTCCTCTTTTTTCAGGTTGTGGCTCTGATAAATGGTTTTTGCAAATTGTTAAGCATAACATGTCTCCAAAAAATGACAAAGTTTTGAGGCTCAGAGGGTTCATTTGTAGGCCTTCATACTAGGATTTTCTGCTAGATCATGTTTATTTTTCCTGAGGGAACAGCATGTCTCATGTGAGTAGTTCAAGCACCATCGGTAAGGTGCAAATCTGACAATTTATCCCGTTTTTACTAGGGCTGGGACTTAATTCCGATTAATTAATTACAACAAAAATAACGAGTTAAAAAAATTTCCCTGCTATCCAGGACTGCTAGCGCTAACAGCTCCGGCGGTTTCTGTGCTCGCTGCTTTGCATTCAGGTGGTACCGTCAGCTCGATGTGCTTCGGTGGGATGCACGTTCTTTTTTGCACAAAACCACGATCTTGTCAAGGCTCCATCAGGCAGTTTTTTAAAATGAAACTTGCCCTCCATCAGTCCAAGCGATGCACTCTCATCGGATTCCTTCATGTTTGTTGTTGTTAGCGTAGCGCTAACGCACCATGTGATCGGTGGACCATAAAACCGGGCGCTGACAAATGCTCTGTGTTTTCTGGATGCAATGTGTTATCTTTGTTGTAATTCATTCATCATAATTAACACTTTAAAGTATAGCAGGGGTTATTTCCGCGTTAATTAACACGTTAAAGTCCCACCCCGAGTTTTAACACTTGCTGGTTTTGAGAAGGAGTGTAATTTAGCCATTTTTAAAATAAACAACATGCCTTTCAGACATGCTAGCAGATCAGTGGATCTATCTACTCTGATTTTCTGCTAGATCATGTGTATTTTTCCTGAGGGGACTCCACGTCCCATAGAAGTAGTCCAAGCACCATCAGAGAGGTGAAGATCGGACCATGTTTTCTCTGTGTACCGGTCCTGGCTCTGAGAAATGGTGTCATTTTGGCGATTTATTTATACATAACATACATTTTTTGTGTGTTTTTTTTTTTTTTACATTTTTCTAGAACATTCCTTTGTAAGCTGCCGGTGGGTTTTGGGGTTCAGAGGGTTAAAGCCACCGTTACAAAGCTTGAATCCTTTATCTCTCCTCTGTATTCCTGCAGTGCCATCCTGCTCGTGACGGCCAGCGGGGAAAGTGCTGGTGTGTGGACCAGAAGACGGGGATGAGGCTGCCGGGGCCGCTGGAGCTCCGGGGGGATCTGGACTGCCACCAGCTAATGACTGCGACCCTGAGGGATTGAGGAGGGAGGCGGCGGCGGCGGCGGCGGCGGCGCAGGACCAGCTGAATTCTACTGGTGCTCATTAGTAGAACTACATGACTAAAGGACTTCATCCTTAAGCCTCACTCTACCTGAGGCCAACGGTACTTGAGCTTGTGCAACAAAAAGGAAACCATTGAATTGAGTTCTTTTGCTATTTTTATTTTTTTTTTGTCTCTGTGTGTGAGAGTGTGTGTGATGATCCGAGTCTCCTGAGCACTTGTTGTGTTTTGTTTTCTACGATGTGAACTTCAGACTGACGGTCTTTAGACACATGCGCTTTAAAGTACCAGGTGGCGGACAGGAAACAAAAAAAAAAACATAAAACACACACTTCCAGTTGTTAGTTGTGATCTTTGTCAGAATGCAGAGTGTGTTGTTTTCTCTAATCTAACTTCAGTGTAGTATTCTTTAAAAAAAACAAACAAACAAACAAAAAAAAAGTGACAAGAAAATGCATCCACTCCACCCAGTAACCAAACCAGGAGCTGTTAGTTTTCATTCCTTCTGGAGCACTCGGTCCGTTGGAGGTTCTTCCATCTGAAGGACTCGTCTTTCAAACAACTCGTTTATTCTGCTGTTGTATATTTCGTAAACTCCACCCGTCTGGTAAGTAGGTTAAAGCGAACCATAAAATGTGTTTGCTCAAAGTCTAGTTCGGAGACGACAACCAGAGTAGCAATAAAAGATGAAACAATGAGAAAAAAAAAGAGAAAAAAAAAAGAAGCAGGGTTTACAAAGGAATGCAACAACCCCCCCCCATTCGTGCTGAGTTACCGAATGATAAGCCATAGCTTTTCACACCGCGGAGACCAAAGTGAAAAGTGAGATTAGTCTGAAAAACTGTATCTCTGCAACCCAGAATAGATTTGCCTCATCACCCCGTGGTTCACTCTGCACCCCTCTCTCTTTGCCAACTCTCTCGCATGGAGGACTGGCAGCGTAGCTGGGCTAGAAACTCTGTACACTGCTGATAGGATAATCCTGTTTCTCCAGCTGGTGCTAAGATGCCAGTACGACTCTCGTGTTCGCATGAATATGCTTCGACGTACAGGATTTCTCTCCAAACAGACTGCTTGGCAGAACTTTGGTGGTGCTACATATCGATTGTGCCAAAATACAAAAGGACAACAAAAACAACAACAACAAAAAAAAGAGGCTTCTGCACTTTTTTGTGCATTGTTTAGGATTGAAAGTGGAGCATCAGCAAGCGTCACAATCGCCTTCGTTCGTGTGATCAGCTGCGCTAGCCGATGACAGAACCTCTCCTGGGTCTTCTCGTCCACACGTATCAACATCCCACACTAGCTTTGCACTATCGCTGGCAGAATGTTCCACCGGCCGGGCGTGATGTGTTTTAAATATAGACCAGGAGTGTAAAAACTTTTAATGATTAAGCTCCTGGCAGCCGAGCGACTCCCAGCTAACGTGGTGCAGCTGTAAAGATAACGCGACGATAACGAGGGAACCAGGAATTCCTCTGACAAAGCTAGCTATCAGCCATCCATAGAGCATCGTTATCGTAATTAAAGGAGTGTATTAACAGCGAAACAGCGACTCAGACGCATACTTTAGACACTGTGGTTGGAGGCCGGCGGTGTTCCGGTGAATTCGAGGCAGACTCGCAGGTTAAAGCTGCTTTATCTGCTCCACCAGGAGACTTTGGTTATCGTTGACTCATGAAAAGATTATTGGTGCTGGTGGTGCCACGGCAGAAAAAAAAAGGAGCAAAAAGCAAAGTAGCATCAAAGCGTTAGTGTGTCGGGTGCAGCACAGTCAAATCAGATGTGTTGAAAAGAAAAAGAAAAAGATATTCACGACAGATTTTTGGCTCCACCCTCTGATTTTACCTCAACATCTCTTAAGCTTTAAAAATGAGCACCAACATCCACACGTTTTCCTTTTAGACGCATAACTTCTGCTACAATTCAGGCGTTTTATCAAACTTTGGGATTGTGTTTAAGTCTGGATGGACTAAAACAGAGACTTTAGGAAGGAGCGATGAGGGCCCCAGTGTTTTCTTTCTGATGAACTGTCACGACGAGCCCCTTCCTGATTCGTTAAGCCCCTGTCACATGACAGGAAGAAAACAGACGCCAGTTTTTGACAGCCAGCAGTTAATCCAAATTCAACACAGATAACGAATAGCAGGTGTCGCCTCTGCTGGCAGTTGTTGTGCAGTTCAGGAACTCCTCTGCTCTTACTTTATTATTTACCTACAACTAAGCAACCGACTGCCTGCTTGGTTTTGCCTTTTCGTGCGCGTTATATCTGAAACGGTTCTGAAATCGTTGTGTTTTGAGATGCGTTTCAAAATGAAAAGGTGGAACAGAACAACAAAAGTGCCATGACAGCCGTTAGCAGTAGCACTACTCATGTTTGCACACAGTGAATCTGGGTTAATTCTTCTAAGATGCAGCAGAAGTTTGCGCTTCTACGATTTGTTCATCGTCCAAGACGGACAGCGAGATGTAAAACGGTAAAGGCGTCTGTTCTACGAAGCAAGAACAACGGGCTCGCGACGCATGTTGATCTTAAATCAAAGGGGCCCGCTAGATCACCATGGCAACCGATTCAGAGTTTGGGATGTAAATCGGCCGTAAGACGCGTCTCCCTTTAACCGATTCTTTTCCTGAGGAGTCGATACAGATTCTCGGCTGAGGTTTTAATCGGCAAACCCGTTGAGCCGCGTGTTAGCGATCCCGGTGAACAAAGCGAACTGTGTCACCACGGTAACCTTCAGTTTGTGATGCGGTTTTAAAGCTTGATCCTGATTTCACACGGCTGGTATTGGTGCTAATATCCAATCGATACATTAGTTTTACTTTGATTTGGCCAACGACAAAACCTTCATTCTGGAACAATCTCAGATCAAAAGGCAAATTTTCATGTTTAAATGTACGAAGTGCAGCTGACATGTTAGAGATAAGCAGCTGCATTGAGAGTAAATCTATCAGCTAACATGATTAACAGCTTCCTACCAGCATTCCTCTCCTGCTTTATTTGCAGTAAAGTGCTGCTTTAAGCTGTAATAAATTTGATTTTTGTTAATAGCTCTCCATCATAACAACCCGTTTCTCTCTACTGAAGCAGGAGACGACACATCAAACGCCTCCTTCTGAGCTGATTAACAAATTAAAGTGGACAACCGGCATCATCTCCGACTCGGGTTTGAGATTTCGTCAAGCCAGCTAACACAAAGAAAGCCTGGATATGTTAAACTTGCTTTGTAGTACAGCCTCTATACGTTGCTTTCTCCCAGTAATCTCATCCCAGTTAACCAGACACAGCTGCCCCAAGTTATTTTAGGGCTTGTTTTTAACTTAGGAATACTTGTGACATTGGAATTTAAAAAAAAGTCCACAGACTCACACATTGTGATGATGAAACGCTGATCAAACTTCTTTTCTTGTCTCTGTGTTCGTCAAGATATTTCTGTCACACATATAAAATCACACTTTTGCGCCCCGGTTGCTAAAAAAAAACTACAAACTGGAAGTAAGTTTAACCTAAAACAGTGTATGTGCAGTTTTACTTGTCAGTACTAAAGAAGTGTATCCAAAGGAAGTTCACCAAAACACAGACGGACAAACCGACCGACGGAGGTGGAGGATCGTCGCTACAGCTAAAAATACGTCAAACACCAAATATCCTAAAAAACAAAAAACAAAACAAAAAACGTTCCAAAGACTTCAAGCACAAATACTCGTTCAGTGAACTGCATGCGCACAAAGAACGTTCCAGCAGAATCCTATCTTATAGCTCATCAACTAATGAAGCGTAGCTAAACCACATTTCGAAACAGTCTTTAATCTTTCCAGGGAGACGGCACAACAGTTTGGGCTTTGATTTCGTTAAAAGAAAAGCCTCCTAAACTACATAAACGGTGTATTTAAGCTATAGTAAGCTGCTTGATCTCTAACTTTGCTGTACTGAACTGTAATTGCGTTTCTCCAGAATAGACTGTTCCTTGTTTGCATTTGAATATTATCTGTTAACGTGTAGAAGAAGATATGAAGTAATGTTTGCATGCATACGGACGGACGGACCGGTGACGGTGGGAAGCGGCCGAGGCTGCGCGTATCTTGTCCTCAACGGGATTGCTATACTCAAACACTGAAGTGATCAAAGAACTGAAATATAGAGTTTCAATCAACGAAATAATCAGTTGCATTGTAAATGTTTACCTGATGAAAATGTACACATTGTAATACATCAATTAAAACACTTTAGAAACTACGGTGTCGCTGGTGTGGTGATTGTCGACGGCGGCATTTGGGCTCATCGGGTACAGAAACGTCAAACAGCTTGTATAGCGTGGACAAAAATGAGCTTACAGGCAAAATAAGTCATGACTAAGAGTCTATTTGATGTTTTTATTTTGCTCCTGTCACATGTGGGCTCATTTTTTTAAGTCCTGCACCTCTATGGAAACTGCACCGCCATGCCAAGTCGTAGTAAATATCTTCTGAACAGCGTGACGCAGTTATAATGTCATAAATCACACACAAAAAAAAGAAAACCAAAAGGTCGAATTTCTGTGGTTATTTATGTTACAAAAATGGGGGAAAAAATGCTAAAAATTGAATCAACATGTGCAACATTGTTCCATTTTTTCCACAGAAAAAAACAGCAGCTCTACATATTACAGATATTTTACTGATTGCATGTTTGATTTGTTTCCGTCCCTTTTCTGCTGCGTTTGTACAAACACAGCCTGTAGTTTAGCCAAATACCAGACGACTGCCTTCACGATTGCACCGAGAATTTTAAGGTTTTTACATAATTTACTTATTAATGCAGTGTAAGTATTTAAATTAGACATGCAGAATAAAGTGATCTGGATGAAATATTATTATTTTAAGCTTGGATTTGTTTGACTTTTCTCACCAAACGATGAATAGTTTAAGCGCCATCGTTCCATTTTTACGATTTCTAGCTCTGATGTCATTTCTGCAATTTTTAAAGCTAACATGGCTTTTAGGGTTCAGAGGGTTAAATACATTTTAATATTAATTTGCTGTCCACACTGCATTCTTGCCTACATCACACACACTGCTTTATTTAACTATTAATTTATTTAAGAGGCTAACATTTCAGCCTGTCGTGACATCAGTTCAAGATAAACCATAAAGATATCTCCACCATCACAGTAGCTGATAAAAAGTTGGAGGAAAAAAGTCCAATTATATTTCAAATATACTCAATTTTAAGCTTTACATTTGTTTATTTGGTAGATTATTTGCACTTTAAAAACAAATGTATGGAGGCGTTGTGTAGGAGTGTCAACCAGCTGATTATTTACGATATCTTTATAAATGTGTCATTAACGTTATGCTATTAACCAATACTGGTATGTCCACTAACTTCATTTTTATATCAGCTAATCTCAGTTTATTGTGTATTTTTGAGCTGTTTGTATTTTCAGAACGCTTCAGAAAGCTTAAAAACTTTGCCATGTTTGCTGTTTGACTGGGTTTTGAAGTACTATTTTGGTCATAAAATACATCACACGTCTAAATTTAGGATTTAAATTGCTGGCAATGAGCTACAACATTAATTAGCCTGTTAGCTTGATTGGTTCCACGGTGACCCCGGTTGTTCCAGCGCGTCCCACTGATGCTCCACTCGGTCGGGTTGACGCCGTGGGTTCTTTGTCGTGCTCCTCGAGTTGTTTTCCTGAGCAGCTTTCGCAGCGCGGTGGGGCGAGCTGCTACTGTCTGGGAATGTCGCTGCTATGAGGGGCGGCGTGCTCGTGGAAAAAACCCACGAAGGCACCGTGAGAACATGCAAACTCCACACACGAAGCGGCAGCAGGTTCTAAAGCCAGGACGTTCTCACACTGCACGACCGCTTCTAATGTGCAAACTTATCGAGACTTTTCATACAATTTTTAACTAATTCCAGTATTAGTCATGGCAGCTGTTAGAGGAGGCGATGGTATGCGACTATTTCTAAATGCTTCCATGTGATTTGTTAGATAAGTGGAGCGCGGCGTTGTCCACCTTTGAGCTCCAAATCAGCGACAGATACGGTGCCAAAACGAAACAGGAGATAAACGCTTGCAGGTGCACGAGTTCATAACGAGCTGGGATGCACTTCACATACATCTAAAGGTACAACGAGCAACACGTGCACGAATGCTTGGTGGGTTTTCTTTCATCGAAGGCTAAAAAAAAAAGGTTGAATTTTGTTATTTAAAGCGGACTTTTATGCATTTATGAAACAGAAAAACTATTTTTTTCTCCACATCTTTATCCGGTATGGTGTGCTCCCCTGCTGCTCCGACAGACAGGTTAATGATAATACTGGAGGCAGTTGTGCAAGGAATACCTCTGGAAAGATACATCATAATAATCTGAGTGCAGCAGCTTCTAAAAATATCTCTACCATCCACCACCAGAGTAAACTTTCAAGTCTGCTTAGTTCCACTGCCTGAGTCTATTTTGGAGAGCTCTACAGGCTTAAGAGCCGGGTCTGGATCTGCATTACGAGAACAGCTTTCTGGGTTTTCCTTCGGGCTGATTTTTAAAATGTCACAGGCCCTGTTGCGCCTCTGGGCATCCGCAGTCCCGCAGCTGCGCCTGGGAGGCCCTGCCCGGTAGCTTACAGGAGGCATGTGACCTCCGCCTTACCTCCGGTCCGTCGCAGGTGTCCGACGCCAAACAACGTCTCCTCCTCCTCGCGTGGAATCCGCTGCCCCTCTCTCATTCAGCTCGGGCGGCCGTGAATGGAAAATAAGGTGAGGCGCCACACCTGGAGATGGGACCGCGGCGGTGGTGTCTGAATGCATATCGCGCAGCCTGCAGGTCAAGCAGAAGTAAAATAAGCTCTCAAGTGTGCAGTGTCAACAGAAAGAAACGGGGACGCAGTGAACACAATCAATTAACGGATCCAAAACAAGAGCTATTCGGGCTGAATGGGCAGAGATGTAGGCTAAATCCCGCAGGCTTTGGCTTGTTATCTTTAGGGAACACACTATTACAACTATTGACCCGGGCGGCTTTCAAACAATGCGAACAAGAATGCAAAGTATTTCAGTTCTAACAACATTGGGAGCAGCGGAGGGCAACCTCGATTTTCTCTAAAGCTCACGGCCTGTGAAGCGTCTATAATGCAACTTACGGTACGGTGACATAATAAATCATTCCACGCTTTTTTTTTTGCTTTTTAAATGGGAGTTTATTGCTTTTTTTTTTTTTCAGAAATGCTGTTTCAAAAAATATCCAAAGGAAGTTCAGCTATGTTGGGCTTCTCTCGTTATCTATTTATTTTTCCACCTTCCTGTGTGAATTGGCGCTGTATAAATATATAATAGAACGATACGGTGCTCACTGGAAAGCATCTGCACTGAAACGGCACATTGTTCTCACGAGACTATGGATGTTTTTAAACCAAACCTCAGCTTTAATCAACACATTGCTTTAGTTCAGTGCTGTCATATACAAGTTAGAAACCAAGGCCCAGAAACACTGCTGCCCACCTCATTCACACTTTGATTTTCTGAACTTTTTCCTGCTTTACAGTTGGATCAGAACACAAAGCTCCAGTCCTGGCTGAGTTATACCGGCTCCAGATTCGTGACAGAATTCAATTTAAAATTCTGTCAGCCACTTTTACACCGGTGCATGATTTGGTTTTCACATCTGTGCACTTTTAACCTCTTATTCTGCAGCTGCTGCCGTTAAAAGTCCAACAGAACGGGCTTTTAATCAAAAGGGGGGACACGCTTTTAGCCCCAACGCTGTGCAACAAGCTCAACTTTTCAATCAGAACAGCCATCAGTGCTTCAGTTCATAAAGCTTCTACAAACTCACTTGAACAGTTTCTAATGTTTCACTGTCTTTACAGATGTTTTATTATTATGTATTTAATGATTTGCATGTTTTAATCTTCCATAAAGCACCTTATAGGCATAAACTCCACTGTATATGTTGTTATTATCATAGCAGGGCAGCAGTGCAGCTCAGCTCTGTGCTTGTATTCCCCTCAGGAAGCTTCTGATGTGTTATATTATGATGCACCTGCAAAATAAAGCAGCTCTGCGTTGCTGTGGCTCACTTTCTGCTCCTGTGAATGAATCCCGCAGGAGGAAAAATGCGTGCCTGCTGTCGTATCAATAGGCGAGAGGCTGCAGCAGTGACAGCTGAGGGCGATGAGCATCAGCATCGAGCCAAGGCACAGCTGTAATAAGGAGAGGGTGGGGGTGCAATTCTGGAAGATTCTGCAGGAATCAGTCGAGTGGACCCCATTTCATTCGTTTATTGTGGGGACTGTTTCTCTCAGCCAGGTGCTTTTAGCCCTCCCTGTTAAAAAGCCACAACGCACACACTGTGGCGGGGAACAAAAGGTGTTTTAGGGTGAGTCTTCTGCCCGACACTTCGGCTCGACATCGTCTCAATCCATGGGAATTTATATAACCTCTGTTGACGCTGCATGCTAATGATATCTCAGCTGTCATTTTCTTTTCACTGAGGTGGCTAAGCTAGCAGCTAGCTAGCCCAACTGAGCTCATGAGCTAGCCACGTAGCATCGATTATCTGCCATTACGACGCTATACGTTAATTAACAACAATTAAAAGTCAGCTCACGCATTGTTTACTGCCGTGTGTCGCCGCAAAAACACCAAACTAGCAGTTAATTAGCTTAGCTAGCATTAGCGGCTAATATATGCTAACGTTAGCTTGCTCGCTAACTGACAGCTCGTTTATGAGCAGTCGACCGTCAGCGCTTCTCGCCTACTATCATATCCAAATAGCGACATATCGTAAAAACATTCAGTGTCAACGATATTATTTATTGTGCTAACAACCTCCAAGCTACAACCTACCAATCTGGTCAAACTTCGAGCTAACGTCGATGCTAGTGACCGTGAGCCTGCCTCGTTAACTGACAGTCATCATCGGCATCTCTTTGTTTTGTGCTTTGTATGACACCTCCGACAGAGTTCACCTCAACGCTGCTGTCCTGCTTCTAAAATGTGTTTATTGCAGATCCAATGACCGCCACGGACTGATACCACCACCTCCTCCTCCTCCTCCTCCTCCTCCTGCTCACCGCTAAAATGTCAAGTAAGGACCAGGGAGTGTTTGGGCTACCTGTGCTGATGGGACGGTGATGCTAAATGTTCAGTTACCTGCAAATGCACAGGACGTGATAGAGCCACAGTGCTGCAAAGTCACAGATGCATTCAACAGATAGATGTCTTAATGATGTAGTCAGGATAATACTACAGGTAG